TAGGAAATTAATTTCTCAGCTTTAACAGAGTCTGTGTGTTTTGAACAAGAAAGCCTGTTTCTTTCTCATATGGAAGTCTGAGCTGTTAGGTGGCCTGAAGTGATAGGGGTAGGTAGCTCTCATCCATAAGGTCATCTGGATACCCAGTTTCCATTCACCTTTTCACTTCAGCACCTCCTGGGTGTGTTGTCTTTCCTATGGCAGAAGCTGGCACACTTTCAGCCCGTTGCATTCCAGGCCTTTGGAAGGGGAAATGAGGAATTGGAGGCCAAGCAGCTCCCTTTAAAGATACGACGTCAGCTCTCTTGTTTAAATCCCATTTGCTATAATTTAGTCACATGGGCACACCTGCCTATGTGGTGGCTGGGAAATGTCTCTACCTGGGTGGCCTCGTGTCCTGCTGAGATTTCAGGCGTTTGTCGGTATAAAAGGGGAGACTGGATGTTGGAAGGCAACTAGCACTTTCTGCTACTTTGGCCTGCATAAGTTTCCTGCCATTTGAGTCAGTCTTAGAAAAATTTTAAGCAAAAATTGTTCTTTGGGAAATTTTATTTTTATTGGCATATGGTTTTAAGATGATTTATATGTTATAGCCCCTTTCTTGTTTCTATTTTTGATTTACTGGTATTTTTCTTTGGCCAGTGGCATATGTATTTCATTATTTAGAGAATCTGCTCCTGCCTTTGTCAACTGTTTTGTTTTACTAGTTTCTTTATTATTTTTTCTTTATGGTTTGCTTGTTAATTATTTCTCTTACATAGTTGAATGTTTAATAATTTTATTCTTTTTAAAAATACCAGTTGCCCATGGGGCGCCTGGGTGGCTCAGTAGCTTAGAGCCTCTTCCTTCAGCTCGGGTCGTGATCCCCGGGTCCTGGGATCGAGCCACACATTGGGCTCTCTGCTTGGCGGGGAGCCTGCTTTCCCCTCTCTCTCTCTCTCTGCCTACCTCTCTGCCTACTTGTGATCTCTGTCTGTCAAATAAATAAATAAAATCTTTAAAAAAATATATCAGTTGCCTGTATTTAGGGATATAAATTTTATCTTTGTGAAAGTTTTGGCAACCCATGAGGTTTTAACCTATAATTCTCTCATTTTCTATTTCACTGGCAAATAAAGTTCTTTCTTTGACTTAATAAATACTCAGGAGGATCAATTTTAATTTCCTGGTGATTGGGTTTTTCTCCCCCATCTCCAAACTTAATTTGTAATTCTACTACATCATGGTTAGAGAACCTCATATGTTCAGTTTTTATGTAAGGTTTTATTTATTTTATTCTAGAGAGAGAGCAATGAGAGCAGGGGGAGGGACAGAAGGAGAGGAAGAGAGAGAAGCTCAAGCAGACTCCTCACTGAGCATGGAGCCCCACATGGGGCTCAGTCCCATGACCCTGAGATCATGACCTGAGCCAAAATCAAGAGTTGGACACTTAACCAACTGAGCCACCCATGTGCCCCCCACCTCCCCACCCCCTGGCTTGATGATTTATTTTAGTGTATGTATGTGTGTTTATAATGAGAGCTTGCTTTCTTTTTTCATCTATAGAGGTACTTAGCACTTCATTTTTTAATTGAAATATAATTGACATAAATATTATCTTAGTTTCAGGTGTATAAAATAATCATTATAGCTATAGATAACAAAGTGATCGTTACAAATCTAGTTAACATCCACCATCACACGTAGTTAAAGGTTTTTTTCTTGTGATGAGAATTTTTAGGATTTACCCTTATCAACTTAAAATATATAATACAATATTATTAACTGTAGTCACCATTCTGTACATTATATCTCCAGGACTTACTTATTTTATAACTAGAAGTTTATAGCTTTTGGCCACCTTTGCCCATCTCATCCACTGCTCACCCCCGCCTCTGGCAATCATCTCTGGCAGTCTGTTCTCTGTATCTGTGAGTTCAAGTTTGCAATAGGCGGTTGTTTTGTTTTTTATTTTAGATTCCACATAGCAGCGAGGTGATAGTTGTCTACATCTGTCTGACTTGTTTCACCTAGCATAATGCCCTCATGGTCCATCCACGTTTTCACAAATGGCAAGATTTCCTTCTTTTTTATGGCTGAATAATATTCCTCTGAAGGTATTATATTATCTATTCATCTGTCAACAAACACTTCCATTTCTTGACTATTGTAACTAATGCTACAGTGAACATATGAGTGTGGATATCTTTTTGAGGTAGGGTTTTTGTATCTATCAGATAAATGCCCGGAAGTGGAATTGCTGGAAAATGTAGTACTATTTTTAATTTTTTGAGGAAATTTTAGTATGATTTGTTCTAGTTTTGTGAAAAATGTTGTTGGTACTTTATAGGGATTGTATTAAACCTATAAATTGTTTTGGGTAGTATGGACATTTTAACAATATTGGTTCTTCTAATCCTTGAACACAGAATGTCTTTCCATTTAATGTCTTCTGGTTTCAATGTACAGGTCTTTCAGCCCCTTGGTTAAATTTATCCCTAGGTATTTTATTCTTTTTGATGCAATTCTAAGTGAGATTATTTTCTTAATTTCTCTTTCTTACAGTTTATTATTAGTGTATAGAAACGCAACTGATTTTTGTAAGTTGATTTGTATTCTAACCGTTTTTGTTTATCCTAACAGTTTTTTGGCAGAGTCTTTAGGGGTTTCTCTAATATAATATTATGTCATCTGCAAATAGTAACGGTTCTTTTCCAATCTCTATAGTTTTGATTTCTTTTTCTTGCCAAATTGCTGTGGCGAGGACTTCCAATATTATGCTGAATATAAATGATGAGAATGGGCAATGATGAGAAGCTTTATCATTTCACCACTGAGTATGTTAGCTGTGGTCTTGTCATATATGGCCTTTATTGAGACTTTTTATCATAAATGGATGCTGAATTTTGCCAAACGCTTTTTCTGCATCTCTTGAGATGATCGTATCATTTTTATTCTTCATTTTGTTAATGTGGTGTACATCACATTGATTGACTTGCAGATGTTGAACTATTCTTGGATCCCTGGAATAAATCCCACCTGGTCATTGTGTATGATTCTTTTGATGTATTGTTGAATTCAGTTTGCTAGTATTTTGTCGAGGAATTTTGCATCTATATTCAAGAGGGTTATTGACATCTAATTTTCTTTTCTTCTGGTGTCTTTGCCTGGTTTTGGTTTCACGGTAATGCTGGCCTCATAAAATGAGTTTGAAAGTATTCCTTCCTTTGTGTTCTTTGGAAGAGTTTGAGAAGGATTGGTACTAATTCATCTTAAATATTTGGTGGAATTCACCAATGAAACTACCTAGTCCTGGACTTTGTTTTTTGCGAGACTTATTATTATTGATTCAATCTCCTTACTAGTATTCAGTCTGTCAGATTTTCTCTTTCTTCATGATTCAGTCTTGGTCGATTGTATGTTTTAGGAATTTACTCATTTCTTCTAGGTTGTCCATTTGTTGGCATGATCTTTATTAGATCCATATTGTCTTAAACTTTGATGTTTAAGGATCAGTTAAGGATCTTATTACAAAGCTGATTCTTGATTCAATATGTTCTGGAGTTGGACCTCAAATTTTGCATTTTCGGGGCGCCTGGGTGGCTCAGTGGGTTAAGCCGCTGCCTTCGGCTCAGGTCATGATCCCAGGTCCTGGGTTCAAGCCCCGCATCGGGCTTTCTGCTCAGCGGGGAGCCTGCTTCCTCCTCTCTCTGTGCCTGCCTCTCTGCCTACTTGTGATTTCTCTCTGTCAAATAAATAAATAAAAATCTTTTAAAAAAATTTTTTTACATTTTCACAAGCTCTCCAGTAATATTTATTCTGCTGTTCTTTGGACTAGGCTTTTGAATACAAAGGTCTTGGATATGAATTCTTAATGGAGGCAAATCAAGTACGTAAAGCAGGGACAGATTCAGCATGATCCTGCATAGATTCCCTTGGGCCCCACAAGCCCTCCTGCATGGTGAGAGCGTCAAACTTCCTAGGAAACTGTCATTAAAAAGAATTTCACAAAATCCGGGAAGCTATATTCTTATTGCACCACTGCCCTTTTATATGGCTTGCAGCATCATCCTGAAAGTTTGCCCTTTAATTAAGAGAATGTTTACAAACATTTTTGTAAGAGTTTGCAGACTCTAGTTTTGCAACCAAACTCAGCATTAGTTGGGTCATATTCTTTTTTTTTCCCCCCTGCTTCCTTCTTATTTGGGTTTGCCTGATACAGAATGACTAGATAAAGATCTGTTTGAATTTGAGATTGAGAGAAGCATATCAGGGCTTCTTTGAGTTTGGAAGTTGTAGCTGAAATCTCTGCAAATGTTAGCAAATTGATCATCACATGAAAGATAGGAAGAAGAGATTCTTAGAATGTTTCATTTTTATTTATTTTTATTTTTTTAAAAGATTTTATTTATTTATTTGACAGACGGAGATCACAAGCAGGCAGAGAGAGAGAAGCAGGCTCCCTGCTGAGCAGAGATCCCGATGCAGGGATCGACCCCAGGACCCCGAGATCATGACCTGAGCTGAAGGCAGAGGCTTAACCCACTGAGCTACCCAGGTGCCCTGAATGTTTCATTTTTAGATGAATAGGTGATTGTGGCAAAGAAAGATTAAATTGTTTTCTTCCATATCACGTAGCTGATTGATTTAATGGAAAAGTTGTGAGCATTGGAATTAGACTGACTTGGGGTCATGAATTGCCTTGGATAAATAGTATTATTTCTCTAAGCTTCATTTTCCTGATCAGTGGAATGGAAATATAATTCCCATTGGATTGATGTGAAGTTCAAATTAAAAGAACCTTGTAGAATGTCTGGCCTGCTAGCCATGACTACATTTAGTGGCATTAAAATGACAAGATCTCCGGGATCAAGGATCATTTTTTCTCACTGATTTTGGAGGGCTAATCTTGTGTTCTTTAGGGAAGTCATTGCTTTCTTGTAATGTCAGGATTCCAGCTGGGTAAGTCTGCGATTTCCGAGGCAGGATGGGTTTTCATGGCTTATTTCTCTTTCTTGGGTATGCCTCTGCAGGACTCCACTCTAGCCAGAGAGGGGAACACAGAGGAAGAAATTATGGCTGCTGTGGTTTTTTCAGTTGGACCACTGGTAAGTTGGGGTTTCTTCGGGTCCTGACCTGCCTCTTGGGTTGAGAGCATGTCGGTTTTTCCTGAAGTCTGTGACTTCTCTACCTTACCCACATCCCTTCTGGTAACTGAATCAAATTGTTTCACCCATGGAAATTGGGTTCATCATAGTAAAGCTTGGACTCTCTAAAAAGATTCATTAGGGGCGCCTGGGTGGCTCAGTGGGTTAAAGCCTCTGCCTTCGGCTCAGGTCATGATCTCAGGGTCCTGGGATCGAGCCCCGCATCGGGCTCTCTGCTCAGCAGGGAGCCTGCTTCCTCCTCTCTCTCTGCCTGCCTCTCTGCCTACTTGTGATCTCTGTCTGTCAAATAAATAAAATCTTGGAAAAAAAAAAAAAAAAAAAAAAGATTCATTATACATATTGAACCAATTATCAAGGCACATGAGCTTTCAAAAAATACTTTTGCTAGTTTTGATAGAGAGCCTAGGAAATTTACTTTTGATGTTCAGTTTGTATAGTTCCTGGGAAATTTCAGTTATTTATGGGATAGAAGAATGGACTATTTTAAATTGGAAATTTTGTTTAGGAAATTTTGGAAAAATATGTACACACACAGACACACCCACACACCCTCTTAATTGAGAGGGACCATTCCCCTTGTGCCCACTCTCAGTGATCTCCTCTTTTCTACCCATTAAGAAGTGATCGAGCTTAATAGATCACGGAGAGAAAGAAAATGTTTAAGAAGTGCTTGGCTGTAGTAAACTTACAGTCTCATTGAGTAAGGCATACAAAAGAAATAGTTACATAATTTATTTAGGTGAATGATAGTTGCTTAGCCATATGATAAAGAGATGATTGCTATGAAAGAAAAGAAATGGAGACCCCTGGATGGCACAGTGAGACCCGTGCCTTTGGCTCGGGTCGTGATCCCAAGGTCCTGGGATTGAGTCCTGCATCGGGCTCCTTGCTCAGCAGGAGCCTGCTTCTCTCTCCCCCTCTGCCTGCTTGTGCTCACTCTCTCTCTCCCTCTCTCTGACAGATAAATAAATAAATAAAATCTTAAAAGAAAGAAAAAAAGAAAGAAAAGAAATGGGACATGAGTATGGGCAAAATTGGTCTATGAAAAAGCTCATGAGGGCAGTGAGACTTAAGGTGGTCCCCAGACAATGATTCAATCAATGATTTAAATTGCCTTAAAGTGTTTGTGAAGGTACTTTAGGTGAGAAGGGAGTTCAAGGGCAAGGCTCTGTGGCAGAGAACAGTGCAGTGAGCTAGTGATTCCAGTGGGAAAGTTATGAAAAAGAAGCCTGGGAATTAGATATTAAAGCTGAATCTTTTAATGTTTCCCTGAAGACTTTTAATTATACATACGTATTTGTGTGTGAATGTGTTTGAGATAGGTGTTAATGTGATAATAGCTATATTTTAGCATGACTTTCTGAAATAGGAGATCCCGAAGAAAGATGATACCAACAAATATAATTTGTTCTAGTAATAATCTGCAGTAACCTGCAGTAGTGATCTTTTATTCTTTGTAGTTGGGATGTACAGTGAAAATAGTCCTTAAAACATATCCTTGAAAGATAAATGAGGGGCGCCTGGGTGCTTCAGTTGGTTGAACATCTGATTTTTTTTTTTTTTTTTTTTTGGGTAAGATTTTATTTATTTATTTGACAGAGAGAGGGAGAAAGCACAGGCAGGGGGAGCTGCAGTCAGAGGTAGGGGGGAAGCAGGCTTCCAACTGAGCAGGGAGCCCGATGCAGGACTTGATCCCAGGACCCTGGATTCACGACCTGAGCTGAAGGCAGACACTTAACCAACTGAGCCACTCAGGTGCCCTGAGTGTGTGACTCTTGATCTCAGCTCAGATCTTGATCTTAGGGTCTTCGGTTCAGGTCCTGCATTCAGGTCCTCCACATGGAGCCTTCTTTTGAAAAAGAGAGCGAAAAGATAAATAAAAACCAAAATATTGCATTTGATCAGTAGATCCAAAGCATTTGTCTAGTATTGACATGGTCAAACCCATCCCTAATTACCAGATGTTGAGGTTCACATTTTCTGGAAGCTAAATATTTATATTTTTTAGATACGAACTTGGAAGAGGAGACAGATAACATTTTTTCGCAGTGGACTTTAGATAGTTATATTACGCATAGTTTTTAAAATGGCACACATAAAACCTAAAATTGTTAAGTGCTAATGGAAAGATACAATAAAAGATCATTTTATCTATAAAATCAGGCCCTCATGGGGATACAGTTTATAAGGTTTGGAAGAAAACAATATAGTGAGAAGTCCCTGAAATACTTCCTGAATGGGATGGTCCCTTGGACCCCCCCACAACACTGTAATGATTTTCAGCTGTGAAAAATACATAGTGTTGGCAGGTTTTGAGTACTTTTCTTGAGTGAGAGAGATTGTTTCTGAGAAATACATTTCAACCCTACATCTAAAGGGAAAATTGTGTGGCATCTGAAGGCCTCTTTATATAAGTTTATTTTTGTAGTGATAGGTTCTTTGTTGGAAGCCTGCTTTAGAAACTATGCGGTTTTATCTGTCTCAGTCTTTTTTTTTTTTAAGCTTTTATTTATTTATTTGATAGACAGAGGTCACAAGTAGGCAGAGAGGCAGGCGGGGGGCTGGGAAGCAGGCTCCGCATGGAGCACAGAGCTCAATGTGGGGCTTGATCCCAAGACCCCAAGATCATGACCCAAGCCAAAGGCGGAGGCTTAACCCACTGAGCCACCCAGGCACCCCTCTATCTGTCTCAGTCTTATGTTTGTCCTTGTCTTAAACAAGGTCAAAGAAAATTATAATTGGATGTTACTCCCGGACATGAATTTCAGCCCTAAATAAAACAACAAAAGAGGTTATCCTGTATATGCCATATCCACCGTGGACGGATGTTGCTTGTTGAGGCTCTGCTATAGGTCATAGGCAGCCTGTCACTGAACGATCTTATCCTGTATCCTCTCAGAATCCTGAAGGTTCCCAGGCAGATAACGATCTTCACCTTCAGCCAGAAGAGCCAGAGCTGGTAAAGGTAATACTTAACATGTATGTAAGGGGACGGAGAAGGGTCTCTTTTACTGCCTCTGGTTCTTAATGTTCCTAGCTCACTGCAAGTTTACAGTGAACACCATCTTGCTTGATAGGTGTAGTAACCCCAGGGCTGGTCCCATCCATTTGGCAGATTTCATTTCTGTCAGTGGTGGCAGCCCTAATGTGGCAGATGGTCACATTGTCATTGCTAATTGATGAAGTACCCTTATGACATTCTCTGATTCTTGATTTGCATTGTGAGACTCAGTATCATTAAAGATACCAAGAATGGGCTCCTGGGTGGAACCGTCAGTTAAGCGTCTGCCTTTGCCTCGGTGGCGATCCCAGGGTGTTGGAATCGAGCCTGGATTCTGGCTCCCCACTCAGCTGGGAGTGTGTTTCTCCTTCTCCCTCTGCCTCTCTCGCCTGCTGTCTCTCACACTCTGTCTCTCTCAAATAAATAAATAAAAATAAAAAAAAAAAAAAAACAAGAATGCATCAATGTGAGTGGAAACATTCTTAAGATGTGTTTAAATTAGTTTAGATTTTTTTATTTCATTATCATTTAAGCTTACTTTCTTATTTGTGAGTACAGAATCCACCTGACTTTTTCAAAAAATAACGGTCAGAAATTTATGAATTATGTAAGAAAAATTATTTAAAACTTAGAAATAAGAAATAAGGCAAAAAATTAATGTATACCCTTTCAGTGTCATATTAGACATGTCTTATCCTGGCATTCTTTTTTCTGCTATCAGTAGACACCTGTTCTTGTATCCACTTTGAACCAGCTTTGTCAAGCAGCTGATCTCTGATTAATGACTTACATTAATCTTTGGCTTTTGTTGATACTTCTAGAATTGTGGGGTTCAAATTTTTTTTAAATTTTTTGTTGAAGTATAGTTGATGTACAAAGTTTATTAGTTTCAGGTGTCTAGCCTAGTGATTGGACAATTCTGTACATTACACAGTGCTCACCACAGAAGCTGTAGTTACCATCTGTTACCATAAAGAATTGTGACAGTATTATTAACTGTACTCTCTATACTGTACTTTTCTTCTCTGTGACTCATTTATTTTATAACTGGAAGTTTGTACCTCCTAATCCCTTTCACCTCTTTCACTCTTTACCCTCCCCTCCTAGGAACCACCGGTTTGTTCTCTTTATTTTGGAGTTTATTTCTGGCTTTTGTTTGTTCATTTTGTTTTGTTTTTTTTAGATTTCACATGTAAGTGTAGTTATATGGTGTTTGTCTTTGATTTATTTCACTTAGCATAATACCCTCTAGGTCCATCAGTGTTACGACAAATGACAAAATTTTTTTTCCTTTTTATGGCTGAATCGTATACATATCTCACATCTTTATCCATTTATCTTTTGGTAGACACTTGGATTGCTTCTGTATCTTAGCTATTGGAAATAATGCTACCATAATCATAAGGGTGCATATGTCTTTTTGAATTAGTGTTTTCATTTTCTTCAGGTAAGTAGCAGTGGAATTACTGGATCATATATGGTCATTCTATTTTTAATTTTTTGAGGAACCTCCATACTGTTTTCCATAGCTGCTGCACCTACTTGTGTCCCCGCCAACAGTGCCAAAGTGGCCCCTTTTCTCCACACCCTTGCCAATTCTTGTTATTTCTTGTCTTTTTTATTTTAGCCATTATGACAGCTGTATTTTCTCATCATGGTTTTGATTTGCATTTCTTTGGTAATTAATGATGTTAAGCATCCTTTCATGTGTCTGTTGGCCGTCTATATGTATGTCCTCTTAGGAAAAATATCTGTTCAGGTCCCCTGCCCAATTTTAATTGGGTTACTTGGGGATTTGTTGAGTTGTATGCATTTTTTGTATTTTGGATATTAACCCCTTATCAGATACATCATTTGCAAATACCTTCTTCCATTTTTGTGTTGGTGATTTCTTCTGCTGTGCAAAAGCTTTTTTTTTTTTTTTTTAAGATTTTATTTATTTATCAGAGAGAGAGAGGGAGAGCGAGCACAGGCAGACAGAATGGCAGGCAGAGGCAGAGGGAGAAGCAGGCTCCCTGCAGAGCAAGGAGCCCGATGTGGGACTCGATCCCAGGACGCTGGGATCATGACCTGAGCCAAAGGCAGCTGCCCAACCAACTGAGCCACCCAGGCGTCCCTGTGCAAAAGCTTTTAAGTTTGATATAGTCCCAGTTGTTTACTTTTGCTTTTGTTTCCCTTGCCTGAGGAGGCAGATCCAGGAAACTGTTGCTAAGGCCAGTGTCCAAGAGTTTACTGCCTTTGTTTTCTTTTAGGTGTTTTATGGTTTCAGGTCCTTAATTCATTGTTACTTTATTTTTGTGTGGGGTTTAAGAAGGTGGTCCAGTTTCATTCTTTTACATGTAGCTGTCATGTTTTCCCAACACCCATTTGTTGAAGAGACTGTCTTTTCCCCATTTATATTCTTACTTCCTCTCTTATAGATAATTATGGTTTAAAAAGTATGTTGAAGTTAAGATCCTTTTTTTTCCCCAGAATTATGTTTTTAAGTTTTTAAAATTACACTTTGGAATTTGGTTTTATTCCAAGAATATTTTATGTGAAACGGGCTTTTCTTTTTGCTTCTGTGACAAGATATATTCTGAGACTCTTAGGGGCGCCTGGGTGGCTCAGTGGGTTAAGCTGCTGCCTTCGGCTCGGGTCATGATCTCAGGGTCCTGGGATCGAGTCCCGCGTTGGGCTCTCTGCTCAGCAGGGAGCCTGCTTCCCTCCCTCTCTCTCTGCCTGCCTCTCTGTCTACTTGTGATCTCTCTCTGTCAAAGAAATAAAATCTTTAAAAAAAAAAAAGATATATTCTGAGACTCTTACACATAATTTTTATATAGTCTTTTTGAAATTTAATACTGGGCCAATCCTTCTTAAATTTTTCCTTTAACATATGACAGTTTAGACTTAAAATTTTTTAAGGTGAAAATATTAATAGTTTCAGACTTTGAACCATGAACTGTCGGAAAATACCATTATTTTTGACATGATCAGTAATTCATGTGGTTTATTTTTGTTCTGACGGGGAGTCCTTGGGAGAAGGTTAATTCTGTCTGGCTCACTCTTTCTTTCTTTCTTTCTTTTTTTTTTTTTTTTAATTTATTTGACGGACAGAGATCACAAGTAGGCAGAAAAGGCAGGCAGAGAGAGGAAGGAAAGCAGGCTCCCTGCTGGGCAGAGAGCCCAATGTGGGGCTTGATCCCAGGACCCTGGAATCATGACCTGAGCCGAAAGCAGAGGCTTTAACCCACTGAGCCATCCAGACGGCCCCCTGTCTGGCTCTTTCTTAAATTCTGCATCCTATTTATAAGTACTGAGCTTAGTTTTGTTTAATATTTTTTTTTAAGTAGGCTCCACGCCTACCATGGAGCCCAATTTGGGGCTTGAACTCAAAACCCTGAGATCAGGAGTTAGACATTTAACTGACTGAGCCACCCAGGTGCCCCTAGTTTTAATTTTAATTTGAGTAGAACCAGTATTTCAATGATACTTTTTAACATTTCTATAGCTCCAAAAAAGGCAGATAGACTTTTCTTAGGGCTTGTGTTGAAAGTGTTGATCAATTTGGGAAACATTCCTGTGTTAATACTACGTTCTAGTAAGAAGAATATGGAATGTCCTCTCATTTATTTAAGTGACCTTCAGTCTCTTTTAGTGATATTTTGTCATTTTTAATGTATGAGCCTTGCACATCTTTTGTTAAATTCATTCCTAAGTGTTTTATTCTTTTTGTTATTTTAAATGGATTTTTTTCTTAATTTCTTTCTTTTTTTTTTTAACATTTTTTTTTAAGATTTTTTTTTTTTTTTTTTAATTTGACAGACAGATCTCAAGTAGGCAGAGAGGCAGGCAGAGAGAGACAGGAGGAGGCAGGCTCCCCACTGAGCAGAGAGCCCGATGCGGGACTCGATCCCAGGACCCTGAGATCGTGACCTGAGCCGAAGGCAGAGGCTTTAACCACTGAGCCACCCAGGCGCCCTCTTAATTTTTTTTTTTTTTTTTTTAAGATTTTATTTATTTATTTGTCAGAGAGCGTGAGCACAGGCAGACAGAGTGGCAGGCAGAGGCAGAGGGAGAAGCAGGCTCCCTGCTCAGCAGGGAGCCCAATGTGGGACTCGATCCCAGGACGCTGGGATCATGACCCTTGCCGAAGGCAGCCGCTTAACCAACTGAGCCACCCAGGCGTCCCTCTTAATTTCTTATTTGAAATGTTCGATGGTATAGAAACAGTTGACTTAATGTATATTGATCTCGTGTCTTGAACCTTGCTGAACTAGTTTTTTTCATTGTAAAAGGGTTTTTATTTGTATGTTCATGTGCACGAGTGTGGACTCCTTAGGGTTTTCTGTATGCAAGATAATATAATCTGTAAGTAGAGATTATGTCATTTCCAAATAGAAATTTACTTTTTCCTTTTGAGTCTGGATACCTTCTATTTCTTTTTCTTCTCTACTTTTTCTTGCTAAAACTTACAGTACAGTGTTGAATAGAAGTGAGGAGAGAGGACATCTTTGTGAGATTTGTAATCCCAGGGGGAACGCATATGGCCATTCACCATTAAGTATGATGTTAGATTCGGTCTTTATCGCATTGATGAAGCTTGCTTCTATTTCTGGTTTGTTGGGTTTTGTCACATAATTTTTTGAGTCTGTTAAGATAATTGTGTGGGTTTTGTTTTTTTTTCTGCTAATATGATGTGTTATGTTGGTTGATTTTAAGATATTAAATGAATTTTGTATTCCTGGGGTAAATCGCATTTGGCTGTGACATTTATTGTGTTTTCTTTGTTGCAGGATTCAAACTGAATCAGACTGAATTAATTCTGCCTGGTTCTTCCTTAAATTTTACATCTGTCTTGTTTTATTAACACTGACCTCATAGAATGAGTTGAGGATTATTTCCTTCAGTTTTTTGGAAGAGTTAGTGTAAGATTGGTATTAATTCTTCTTGAAATGTTTGTTGGAATTCAGGGAAGCCACTTG